GCTGTGCCCCTGGCTATGTTTACTGAACACTGACTCAATACCTACATTGTAGCCCTGTCTGCTGGGCAGGTCTTAGGGGACAGCAAAGGGTGGATCAATATTCTAGAAGATCTCATGGTCAAGAAGGAGGTGTAAGTGAGGCAAAGGGTGAGTCACCTAAATAAGGCCCCAAATGAAAACCACAGGACATCATCATACATACACTAGAGTGGTCCAGTGGAAAAGGCTGATGATCCCTTTTGTGTGGCCAGGGATGTGGGCCAAGTGGAATGCTCACACTTTGCTGACGAAAATAAAATGCTACACCCACATCACAAAAGGTGGGACACTTTCTTATAAATCAAAACTTACAACTATCCTTGACCCAGCAATTCTACTCCTAGGTGTGAACCTGAGAAAATGAAAGCCTATGTTCACACAAAGTTTTGTACACAAATACACAGTTAATAATGTCTAAGGCCTAAAATCAACCCAAGTTTCTATCGACAGGTAGAGGGATCAATGCATTGCAGCCAAGCCATGCAGTGGAATAGCCAAACTTGCTTCATGTAGACATGTGGAATCACGTAGCCTAGAGTCAATACTGTGCTAAAGGAAAGACTCCAGACACAAGAATACATATGGTATGATTTAATTTATAGAAAAGGGAAATCTAGTCACCTTTGATGGAATGCAGAACAGAGATTTTTTGGGGGGGCCAAGTTGGGTAAGGGAAACTAATTGCAAAATGCAGGAAATGAATTTCTGGGGTAATAGAAATGTTCTATATTGCGACTGTGGTTATATACGTATATACATTTTCAAAACTTATGAAATTCTTCATTTGAATGGGTATATTTTATTGTACATAAATTTTACTTCCAAAAAGTTGATTACAAACCAAATCAAAACACAAGCACCAAAATATAAAAATGCCAGCCAGAGTAATCTGAGCAGCTGGCAATCCCCAAAAAGCATATGAGCATAAGGAGTGTCCAACTAAGGGCCCCAGTATAAACATCCCATTAGGCATGAGGTCAGTGGCTGGATTAAAGGAGGGACAAGTCTTTCCCCCTCTGGACTGGCTGAGCTGTGCTGCCATGGGGTGTAGACCCCCTTCCTGAGCACTGGGAGCAGAGCAGCCTCTCCTCAGACCCAGTCTCCTGCCCCTTCCTCCCCAGGGAGCTCCTCCAGTTGAGGATCAGCCAGCTCAGGGCTGCCAACAGCCCACACAGCTTCTTCATGAGAATTCAAAAAGAATCCTCAGCTGAGAAATTTGCCAAGATGATGAGAATTTGTGTAAAAATAAAGGAGCCCCATCCTCCAAGTACACCCAGCTCCTTACCACTTGGTCAGCAGGGCACAGATTGGGTTTCAGTCCCCACTTGCAACCTAAGCTCAGGCCTTTGTTCAAGATTCCACTGAAGGCTTCACACTATGCCTCCATCCAGGAAACTGCTCTGCCCTGTCTGCCCTTGAGAAAGTCCTGTCCCCCTCCTGCCTCAGTTCCCCATTTGTCAAATGGAAACAAACAGTTGTAAAAATCTGATGAGATAAGAAAAAGGAAGTTGCTTTGAAAAGTATGATATGCCAGTTTTTCCCGAGCTTACTGGAGGATGGATGGATAATGGATGAATGGACGGATAATAGTTGGATGGATGGATGGTAGGTAAATAGATGGCGGACTAATGGATGGACAGTTGGTTGGTTGGCTGGCTGGATGGACAGATGAACTGAATGGATGGATTGTTGAATGGGTGCGTGGATGGGTAAGTCGATGGATAGATGACATGATGATCTCTGAATCCCAGGGTTATGTTCCCTGTACTCTCCCTGGCGGTGAAAAGCAGAGAATGAGATCTGGGGTCCACATATTAGTATCTTCTGACCTCCACCCCACACACACTCTCTAGTCATTCCCAGATAAAATCTATCCCTAGTTCATGACCACGCGGAACCAAATGCCAAGTGCAATCTTCCTTCTGGGGCTTGTGGCAACAAGTCTGGCATGTGGATCTTGGGTGTGGAAGAATTGAGCCTGCTTCTCCCCCAACCAGGACTCCTCCCTCCACGGGGTGGAAGACCCTGGCTGAGGAGCTTCCTTTCCAAGGCGCTGATCTATAATGATTGTTCTTGCCTCTTAGTCTCTTTCTCTATAAAAGGATGGACAGAGACAAGACAATTAAAAGGCGGCTTCCCAGCTGCCCTGGAGAGAGTCAATGAATAATAACAGACTTCCAGCTGCAGCCTGGCTAAGGCTTGGGAACAGCCAGCTCCAAAAAGCTTAGGATCCCGGGTAGAATCATATAATTTCTTAAAGAACCAGGACTTTGAGGGAACAGAGGGCCATCCTCCCTTTGTTGGGATGAGGAGCGTGACTATCTCCTACAGGAGGGGCCACTTTCCTCTGGTTCCCTCAACCTGCTGCCTGAGCCGAGCAGGAGATAGAACTGACTTGCTGTCAGCTGGCTAATGTCCACAGCTCAGTTCTGGCCCTGCCCAAGCTGTGTGGCCTCAGGTAGGGTCTGAGCCTCTCTGACCCTCTGTTTCTGCACGTGTGAGATGGATGATGAGGCAGCAAACCCCACAGGCCTCCCACTTGAGAAGCAATGCTCTGCTTTGTCTAGGGGAGCAGAACAGAGTAGGTAGAGGGCTGGCGCCCAGGTCTCCTGGTGTCTCAGTGTTTCTTCAAAGAGCAGGAAATCAGAGCCTGGGGAGGGGGTGAGGGGTACATGTCCCTCAGAGCATTGCCTACATCTCCCCCTCCCACCACCTGCAGCCTCGTCCTAAGGGGGCTCCCTCACAGCCTGTTGCAACACCCTCCACTCCCACAGAGGCAACTGTGACCCAGGAGTTCAAGCCAGGGTGTCAGCATTTGCCTTCAGCCCATGCACTGCTTCAAGGTTTCACAGGACTAAGAGCCAGAGGGGAGAAGCAGCTTGCCCAAGACCACCGGCTTCTGAAACAAAGGTCTCAGCACTCCCCAGCAGTATTTTAGCCTCATCCTTACAGGATCCACCATGTGCCTTGTCTGCAGGAAGATTTCTTGAGCCCCCTAGACCAGATCCTCCTTTGTGGACCCTGAAGCCCATCTCTCTTGCACTCCTACTTCTCCCTTAATGTATGTGCTCCCCAGAAATCGGACACACCCAAGGACATTTTGGAGAGATCCCCAGTGCCTAAGGCAGTGTCTCTGCATAATAAATGATTAATGGGACTTTCTTTGCAACATCCCCCTACGTTGGTACTTTGGCTCCCAAAGATGGGGGTGGGGGGCCCTATGGAGGGAGGTGGGGTGGTGAGAATAACTCACAGGCAGGCCCTGGACTTGGGCAACAATGATGAGTCCAGTCCTAACTCCAGTTCTGACCTGGCTGCACTGGGCCACTGAACTACCAAGAAGGACAAAAGAACTGCACGGTGGCGCTCACTGCAGCAAGGTGAAGAAGGATGGGGAGCCAGGAGTGATGTGCTCGGCAGGGAAGGTGAGTAATGAGTGCAGGTGCAGGTGTTTATTTAGTGAGCAGGAATCGCGAGGCTGAGGACCAGTCCTACCCCGGCACGTGGCCCAGACTCTGGCCAGGAGAGTCTCAGTGACACCAAGAGGACTCAGGAGGGGCCTGTCCCTGCCTCACCTACCCTTCCTTGCCCTGGCTCTGGGATCCCTTCCCGAGGCCCAGTCACTTGGGGAACTCTGCCTTCCCATGGAGGCCCAGCGCCCCAGTCTCATCTCCAGTCAACTTTTTCCTCTCTCCTCACCCCATTCCTCAGCTCCTAGGCTCAGGCCTCCAGTGTGGAAGAAACAATTGTTTTCAGAGTCCAGGATTTCACCTTCGGTCTGACTCCTGGGTAGTGCTCTTTCTTCATCTATCTCTGTGGCCTCATTGCCTGCATGTGCAGGGCCTTGGTTTCTCCATTTACATAAAAAATGGTTTCCTGAAGGAACATTCCCTTGCCCTGCCTGCCCCCAACTCCCTCCTCAATGTGTGAGCAGATGAAGTGTGGCCTCCAAGAGAGAGTGGCAGGGCCTCAGATAAACAGCAGAGTGTGGCCAAAGGCCAGATGTGGGTCCCCTGCCTTCCTTTGCCTGTCCACCCCATGGGAGAGGACAGCCAAATCCAGTGGGCAGGTGTGGACAGGGATTGGTGCAGAAGACCCTGACTTCTTCATTTGTGGAGGAGAGAGGATGCTACCCCCTCCCCTTGTGGCTTCACATTTTCCTCTGGATGGAGAGAGACCCTTTCCAAGCAGGGCGGGGACCAGCTGGGGTTTTGAGAAGTGAATGTGATTGCAAGGAAATATGTGTGGCTGGGACAGGTGCCCAGTTCAGGGCTGCTATGGAAGGGGCAAGGCTGCCCTCCCCTAGGTCAGACACCTGGCTGGGGAAGCAGGACAGCCACCTCGCAGGCCTGCGGAGGGTCAGCCTGCAGGGCTGGAGCCTGCCTTGAGGCCTCCCTGCCTCCTATACTCACTGCCCAGCTCGCCTCCTCTTTGTCTTTCCAGCTCAAGGAGATGCGGAACAGAGGCAGGACCAGTGGCTGGCCAGGCCCCTTCCTTCCAGTATGTGCTGATGTTCCCCGCACCGTGCAGCAGGGACCTGGGAGAGAAGACACCCCGTCGAGCAGGAGACAGCCACGGCTTTGGAACCAGTGGACTGGGGGCAGATCACAGCTCCTGCTTCTCCAATGGGTGGATGCAGCCCGAGCTCTCCAAGGATGTCCTGGATAATGGCCTTCACCCCCCACGAGGAGATGACTGGCACTAGTTAAGCAATTGGGTCCAGAACAGGCGTAGAGGGGGCAGGGGGAGAGGTTCATATTGGATGAAAAGAGTCTGGCCTAGGCTAGGGCTGCAACTAAGGTAGATTTGGTGAGATGGGCAGTGACCTACTCCAGGGGTCACCATGCTGATCCACTGATGCTAATTTTTCTGTGATCAGTTGGCCTTAGGGAATTCCATATATCACCATAAGTCTGAATTGGGGGTGATACATTTGTGGGTGCAGGAGGAATTTGGGTCACCTTGTCATTTGATTTCCTTGTGTGTCTTCGTGTGTGCGCTGGTCCCGAGAATCAGGCCACTATCGCCAGCAATGAGTCCCTGCGCTGTCTGACTCATGATGCCCCAGCTCCAAGTGCCTTCCTGAGCGCCAGTCTTCTGAGGCACTCTGGGGCTCAGTCTGAGGTCCCTGGAACTGGAATCTAGGAAATGACTTGCTTGAAGGTAGTTGGGGAAGCGGGGAGGTGATCCTAGGAAGCAGGTGCAAAATGGTGAGCAAAATAGGGAAGGAGGGAGGTAATCCCATGGTGTGTTATCATACGGGTAACAGCAGCTGGCAACTGGGGCTCCATCTCAGAAGCCTTGGTTCAGAGCTATTCTGAAGCACAAGAAATGGGGAGTATTTAACCTATCAGTTCCCAACTCCACAGCCAAGGGTTACCATATGGATGCTAATTGTCCCCTAACCACACAGACACACACACACACACACACACACACACACACACACACTTCCCAGTTGCACACACAGGAGCCCATGCCATGGTGAGTGGACACTATTCACACCTGCAAAAAGGTGAGTCACTGTCAAGTTGAACCTGTGGGAAGCTGGTCAAACCTGTGCAGAACAGGAGCCCACGCCGTGGCTGGAGTGAGAGGCGGGACTGAGAGAATCGGGTCTCCCCTACAGTTGTCTGCTTCAAGGTGTGGCGGTACATCTCAAACTAGACATCTTTACTGGGGGCAAAGGCAGGGCTCGGGGCTGCCATTCAACTTTGGCCTACGACCCCTTTGAAGTGGACACCTCTGTGCAAAGAAGCCCCCCATCTGCGTTTGGGGTCAGGAGCCAGAGTCTGACCAGAACGTCTGTGCTAGTCCTGGGGTAGACGTGGGAGTGTTTGGTGAAGCCCACAGGGAGGCTGTGTGTCTGCCTTTGAAAAATGGTCCCATTGGACCTGTCTCACCATAACGAATGAGCTTGGTCAGGAGCTAGTGAGGCCTACAGACGCCCAGAGAGGCTTGCCCACCTGCCAAAGCAGACCTGTCCCATTGGCGGTAGTTAACCTTGTGCTAATGGAGCGAACCCAGCCAGGCAGCAGCATCCTGGGAGCGGGCTCTGCCGACTGCGCAGCCAGGGAGGGGGCTCATCTCTCCTCTGCCTCCATTTGCATTCCCTTTCCTCTGCCCTCTGACTCTTCTACCCTCTCTGGACCACACCTGGAGTTCCTGGGTTGAGTGGGGGGGAGCACTGAAGATCCCAGAGCCCTTTGGGGTAGCCAGAAGGCCCACAGCACCTCCTCCGCAGCTCCTAGAGAACCCCAATAAAAGCCAGCTCTCCCACAGCACCAAGAATCAGCCACCCACTCAGTGACTCGGCCTTCATGGAGCAGGGGCCTCAGAGATGACAGACTTGGGTAAAAATCCCTATTCTGAGTGACTGCAAACAAGTTCCTGCCCCTGCCAGGTCTGCACCTCCTCGACTGTGATTGGGGTTGTGCAACTTGTCCCTCAGGCTTGCTGCTGGCACGAGAGCTCAGGTACAATGCTTGGCTCTTAGCAGGCACCCGCTATGTGCTGATTTTACTGTTGTAGCAGGATGGAGAGAGTATGGGCAGGAGTCAATGTTCAGAGAATGATGTTCCAGGCCCAGAGCTGAGAAGAAAGGGTCCACCTTCTAGGGCAGAGAACTTGCAGTGTTGGGTCCTAGCTCCCTCTCAGATCATTGGGGAAAACAGATTCGGTGCATGCAGATTCATGGTTCATTATTATAGTTTTAATAAACTGGAAGGAAACTTTAAAAATCATCAACTTCACTAATAAACTAACAAATACAAATTCAAATAATAATAATAATAAGGTGCAATGTATCACCTAGAAAATTGCCAACGATTCTCTAAATCCAACACTGGTTTGAGTGATGGTACATTATGCGTCCGAGTGAAAACTGGCACATCCTTCCAAAGAGCAATTAAAGAGGAAGATTTGAACATCTTCATGAGCACTTTTTAACTCAGTAATCCTGCTCCTCATATTTATCAAGGAAATGCCTTAAGGATGTTTATCTAAGTGCTGATCAAGAGTTATTAATGAATGCCTAGTGCCAATGATAAAATCTTGGTCAAATGGATCCGGGTACTCCCCACTTCTCACTGGAACACCAGGAGCCATGAAGAATGATGCATCCGCATGTTCACACCTTTCAACCATCTTCAGAAAGAATCAATAAAGGGTAACAACAGGTCCCTCTGAAGGCGAAAGGGGGAGATGAGGAAAGGGATGGGCGGGAAATTCATTTTCCATCAATCCTCTTTAGTATTGTTTGAATTATTTATCATGTCCCGGGATTATCTCTTCAAATAAAATAAACTAAGATTTAAAAGACAATGATGGAGAAAAGTAATTTTGTCAGGTCAACAGTTGAAGTAGACTAGGGGTGGCTATCTCCCAAAATGTTAACCATGATTATTTCTGGCAAGGGAACACTTTTTCCTTTCTCTGGTCTCTCTCCCACCCCCTTATAGCCCATGATAGAAGGGGAGTTTATACAGTAAATTGTCCCAGCCCAGGATATTTGGGGGCCACCTGCACTAGAGGGCAAGGTCTCCATACTGGAAAGCCATGAGCATCTTTGTGAGCTCTTTGTCCTGCCTCAACCACATCACTGCCGGCTGTGGAAAGTGGGCTGGTCCTGCCCTGAAGAGGCAGCCATCTTATATTTGAGGATCAGGGGGAAGGGACAGAAAGTTCTTAAAGGCTTCCAGGCCTGGGTTCTCTATCTTGACCCTTACATAGTCCCATATTTATTAGTAAATTTATAAATGGAGTAGCATGTGAAGTCCCACCTGACCACCGTTCCTCAGACTTTGCTTTTTCAGTCAGGAACTCTGCATGGGACAGGGTTGGGGGTGGGGGTATGTGGAGGGGAATGTGATCTAGGACTTTCTATATTGCATCGTAATAGCTCAGAATCTTCCCTCAGAACAATTCTCTTTGAGTAGTGGGAGTAAAGGATATTTTAACTTTTATGTTTATGTTAATCTATATTTTTCAGTCTTTCTGTTATTTAGTAATCCTAACATATTTTTCTGAGGGAAGAAATTCCCTGTTGCACAGCCTTACTGAAGATGGGGCCTTGGCGATGTTTTTTATGAGATAGACACCTGCCCCCACAACTTTCTTTTTAATCAGGTCATCGAATTCTCCTAAGAAGTCTTTTGTGGACATCAAATTGCCTCTGTGCTTGGAGGGGATTAGGAAATGCCAGTTTTGATCCCAGGGGATTGGTTTTTTGGAAGAACCATGTCTTCTGAAGAGCAGAGGGGCTGTGAGAGAGGGCGTTCAAGTCAACACGTATTAATGCCTGACATTTGTACAACACCCTGTGATTTACAGAGAGCGTCCACATCCATTATCCCCTTTGATCCTCCCAGAAACCCTGGGAGAGGCAGGACTTCCTCTGGGAACAGGAAAGAAATTATTAGCAGTCCCATTTGACTCATGGGGAAACTGAGGCACAAAGTGGTTAATTGCCCAAAGCGGTAGAACCAGACTATAAATGAAGCCGTCTGTTGCTGCAGCCTACCCCCTTACACTAGAGTCTTTCCCAAGCTTGAGCCTCAGTTTCCCTGTCTGACAAAGTGGGGGGAAATAGTACTGCTATCCTGGGTGCTGGGGTTCATGTGAGGATTGAGCTAGTCCACTGACTCACTTAGTACTGTTTGGCATATAGTAAGTGGAGTCAACTAACTCTGATGAACAGGTACAGGTCTGTGCCGTGCCAAGTCGAAGGCCGCCTCACCAACCTGCATCCTACGTATATGCTGAGTGCCCCTCTGCACAGGGTTTTTGGTGGGGAGAGAATTAAACAAGATAAAGGGGCTACGCGCAAAGGAGATGGTCCTCTAGCAGAACAGAGGGGCCAGTAGGCAAAGTGGTTGTTAACAACCAGGGCTTTATGAGAGCACTTAAAAGTAAGGCTTTTAATATGATTACCCCTAAAGTCTCTTTGGCTCTCTGAATTCTATCACTTTTTTTTAAAAGAATATTCCTTGCTCTAAGTTCAACTCCAATAGTAACTCCTTCAAACTTTAGACAAAATTAGCCAAAATGCCCTAGAAGTCAACAGAACCACCAGATAAGAATATCTTCTTGCTACTGCCACCTTCTTCACAGTGCTCTTTTGGATAAGCCCTCAAATCTGCCAGCTTGTAGAGTATCAAAAGCCCAGTCCCCCTCACCATAACTTCCTGCTGGAGCCAGATCATAGCTGACCAGAGAGCCGATTGTTAGCTTTTCAGAAACTTTGAGATTCAGCCGACCTTAGGGTAGTAGCTAGAAAAGGGAGATGGTGATTTGGAAACCGGCAAAAACTACAAAACTGTATTTCTGGCCCCCTCAGTCCCTTGCCCACTCATCCCCCTACTCCCCTCTGCAGACGGTTGTTAAATATTTAGCAGCAGCACTGCTGCAGGGTCACAAATTACAGCAAGCAACCATGAGAGGCTAAGAAGAAGGTCCCACTTTAATCCCAAAGCTAATGTGTGTGCTGTCTAATTTCATTTCCACTCTGGTTTCTTTCCAGCCCTGGACCAATGAGACTCAGAAGATCCCCTGTGCTGTGGGGTCAGGAGAAAGGAGGTGGTGGCAGTTTGATGTGAAATGAGACGATGTCTACCTGCAGCTTGGGAACTTTCCACATTTCAGAGGCCAGAATGAATGAGCCAGGTTTGCCCCAGGGCTGAGTCCATGGCCTTTCCCCAGCTCTCCTGTCTGCAAGTGTATCTGCTCTGTCTCATTTATGGTGTCTGCAGGTCTAGTTCTTCAAACAAATGAGCCCAGGATGTGGGTGCTTGGGTATTTCCTGCCCACATGCAAATCCTAGGGAGCAGCAATGCAGCCCATAACACTGCTACCATCCCTACCCGAGGCCCAGGCCCTGGAAAAGGTAGAACAGATGTTGGTCCCATGTCTGCTAGGCCAGGGCCTCTCACTCTCTGGCCTCATCTGCCTTTTGTAAAACAAAAGGGAAGGACACACTTCTCTTTTCCTGGAGTGGCTCTGGGAACTCTTCTTGGTGACAGCACTGTATTTGGAAAAAAATGTGTTGGTCTGCACATCAGGATTAATGTCACAAACTGTGGTCATGGAACTGCCACTGGGCCTGGGTTCTGTGCAAGGGGGCTTCTCGTGTATTGTACCTGGTGATGGGGCTCAGTTTGGGGAGGTAGAAGCAGTAGCTGGAGCAGAGCTAAAAAGTTCTCCGTAGTTTGGGGTGGGAAATATCTGGGCCTGGGGGAAACATGGAGGGCAGGAAGGGCTTGAGATGAGGAAGCTCAAGAGGCTGGCCTTGGGAGGAAAAAGAGGAGATAAAAACAAGCCAGTGGTGCTAACCCAGAAGGGACAGAAGCCTGAGCTAAATTCTGTTAAATTCTGTTAAATTCCTTCTGAAGTGTAGCACATAAGGAGAAGCAACAAATCATACAGCTATATAGTTCAGTGGATCTTGAGATACCGCCCCTTTCTCATCAATCTCAACCTCTGCACCCCAGCACCAGGGGACCCCTCTGAGCATGCACAGGAGCTTAGCCCAAATGAAGGGGAATTAACTCCTACAGGGCCTGCTGCAGAGCCAGCCTCCACCAGTAGGGACAGAGCCAGAGGGTAAATGTCAGCCCCCCACCTTCCCCGGGGACAATCCTGGGAGACATCCATTGTGTCTGGGGAGATCTCACCGAATGGAGCCCCAGTAGCTTACAGTGTCCATCTCAATAACACACCCATTTCCTTTTTCTCTTCTCCGGAAACTTGGTGATGTTTCTGGGGTCCCCTCCCGTATCAAGTACCTGTTCCCAAGCCCTTATCACTGCCTCTGCCTCTGCCTCGGGGCCACCTAAACTAATGGTCCAATTCAGGTTTTGTTTTTAAAGTTGGGAGACTGGACTTAATGGTTTGGATGTGCTCAACCAGTAAGACTGGGGTCCCAGGGGCATTTTGCTTGGCCAAGGGGAGACCTGAGTGACACCCCTCCCCAGTGTGAGGAATTATGGCAGAGAAGAGGGAAGACAGTGGGAGGACAGGCTTGGCAGGCTCCTGCTGTGACAAAAGGGTGCTGAGCATCAATGGGGTGCCGAGCTTGCCTCATCTGCGCTGGCCAGTTCAGCAGACACTAGCCCTGGGTGGCCCTGGGCACTTGACTGAGCTTCGTAAATGTAAATCACACCCCAGAATTTGAAGATTTAGTATTTAAACAGCATGGAAAATTAATGCTTTATGTTGATTCAATTTCACAATAATATTTTGGACATATTAGATGAACGTAAATATTACTGAAATTAATTTCATTTCTTTCTTTTTACTTATTTAATGTGGCTGTTAGAAAACGTGAAATCAAGGGTGGGCTCATGTTGGAGATAGACGCTATATTCCTGCTGGCGGCCTGGGTTAGGGGCTGTGTTCCACATCACATCTGCATCTCAGAGCATGGCAGATGCCACACTGACCTTGCCTCTTCCCAGACGGTGTGGCTGAAGCTCAGGGAGGTCAAGCACTTTGACCCAAGTCTCCGCATCCATGTTTGTTTCTAGTCTAGGGTGCTACTCTAACAAGGTGGTCCCCAGGAAAGGGGGAGGTTCCCTGCCCCACCCAAGGGAGGGTGGAGCTGAGCAGGAAGAGAAGAAGCTGCAGAAGAGACTGAGGAAGGAAGAAGCAGGATGGAGCCAGGAGACCTGGAGGAGGCGCATGGAGCCTAGAGACACGTGAAGAAACTGTGCTTGTCTTTTGGTCGTGGACTGGGTAACACAGATGTGGGTGAGACCCATGGGGAGGTGACCATGGCAGCTTTTATCTTGATGTTGATTTTGCTCTTTTCCTTCCGGGCTTGTCCGGTTGTTTGTGACCCTTTCCTGTGGGTCCCCACTGGAAGATGCTTTAGACTTGTGGCAGGCTTTGGGGCCTTGCTCTGGGCCAATCCCATTTGGATGGACTTTTACCCACGACGGAATGGGTAACTTTAGGTGCTTCATTTAGAAACTAGATTCTTTGCCTTACCTGTATTGTTTCCTAGTTTTATTAAAGTTCCTTTTCATTAAAGTCTCCTATGTTTTGTGTTGATGCGGCGGATGGCAGAACCCATTTAGAATAGGCAGGTTTGCGGGGTTTTGGGCTGCCCCTCTCCCTGTCCTATAACACTACCTTCAGAGGTGGTGGCTTCTGTACAAGAGAGTGATTCACTCTGTGAATCACAGAGCTTCCACTGTGAAGCTTCAAGTCCAGAGTAGAGAGGGTAAGTTTGGGGTAGCTGACCTTGAAGATGGCATCCAGCCCCGAGGCTATTTTTGGGGGTGAGGGGTAGATGGGCTGGGGACATTGCTTCCTTCTCCCGTCATCAATCAGGGGCCCCTGCCTCCAGGACTTCTCAGCCCCACCTTCCCACCCACTGGACTGCACCCACGCTCTCCCCACTATCAATCTCCTGCATAATTTATGGGAACCATCAAAGTTAATTAATGCTGTAGTTACGGAGCCATCCCAATGTAATTATTGTGTAACTGGATTATAATTTAGGTAATTCCCCACAAAGAGCTTATTGCTTATGCAAGAAAGTCAGGGATTTTTTTACCCAGTGATTGATGAGGGTGTTGGGGGCGGACAGGGATACTGGAAGACAGTGTGAGACTGGGGGTATCACCAGGAGGAGGGCAGAGCTTGCAATCCTCTGGGGCCTACCCTAGCCCTGGAGGTGAGAAAGCCAGGGTTAGGAGGAACATTTCTGCCCTCTGCACCTGCCTGGCCTTTCTTTCCTATCCTGCTGGCTTGGACCTGTGTGTAGCCTCCATCCCACTCCTGGTTGCTTCTGCCTCCACTTCACAGCTGATCTCCAGTCCCACCCCACCCACAGCAAACTGTTCATTC